ACCGAGTGTTTTAATTTTTAGCTTACTTTTGAGCATGTCTTCATTCGGAGGACGGTTCCAACAAGAGAAAAGCGTCAAACACGTTTTTTTACAAGTGGTTTTGTTACATCAAACAAGATTACAGTCTTTGTCAACAACATTCATTAGTGGTTGAGCGATAATATCGCGGATTGTAAGTTGCGACTGCGATGCGGCAGCGTGTATGTCACTTTTGCTATCTATATCAGATCACTGACTAGGTTAGGTAATAGGGGGTATAGCGATATATACGCTGCCTCCTGCATGTCAAAATGCCTTCATACTCAAAATTTTTTTAAATACTTGGTAAACAGGAGTGTTGAAAGTTGTGAAAGTGAGTTTCATGGTTTTTCACAACAGCATATATACACGAGCTGTACAAACACATTGTCGACATATCGACCTTCACATACCTTTTCTGATTGTCCAATGTTTCTATGTTCCTTGTGGCTTCCCGAAATTCGTGTGTTGATTTAATTCAGCTGTTCATTTAAGCCTAAAAACTAAAATCATTGACTAGCAGCACCATTTCAGTATACAGTGGTCCTCGTTTTCACTTCTTGACTACCAGAGGATTGTGTGTACTGCGACGTGGTTAATAGTTTTTTTTTCTTGGCGTTGACAGGTGTGTTGCACACGCGTTCAATGAGTACCACTGGAACATGAATCGATCGCACAGGTGCATGATTTTCACATGAGAAAAGGCATATGCCGTAACTGAAGTGTGTCACTGGCTGACGGTCAGTTCCTCATTGTTTTTGCATCGCTGTTTAAAACGGTTTTGAATAACAGAAGAGAACAATCGACTTCGACGAGGTCCATTTCTGTTTGATCTTTCAATTCTAACATGCATTTCGTTCCTTCTTGAAGAACAGAACAGACAATTTATTAGCTGCACCATCGTCGCTAGAATTGCGTAGTCATTAATCACAGTCACTCACTGATTATCCAGCAATGAACCGAAAGTTCGAAGACTTCGCACACTGTAACAGTCGGGAGTTATGTAAGTGCTTAAGTGACCGTTCGGTAGGCGGTTAGTTTGTTTTCGGATGATCGATAACTACAGCACAGGCATCGTTCGGTGCTTCATTCTCAGGTTGGTGATCATGGTGAAAACAGCATTAAACATGCTTTAATCGTATATGACACAAACAATATAGTCGATCGAATATCTGACCAGCACCGACGTTTCAGCCCATGTCTCCATGGCCTTTTCATAGTAAGAAGGCTAGTTGATCGACTTCTGAAATCCTTCAATCACTTACGGCAATTGGTAGGCGTTGCACCAGTGTTTTATTACAGTATGGACTGATACGTCGGTAGTGATCAGTCATTCGTTGACCACATCTTTTGCATGGTGTATAAGTAAACTGTTTAATGTTGTTTTCAGCGTTAAGTATGACAGCGATTCGATTACTGATTACTTAAGGATGTGCTCCAACGGTTAAGATGCAGTGGTTTCGCTGCGAAGATGGTTCACTGAATTGATACGTCAAGAAGGGATCAATCATCCTTTATTATGATGATGTCAATAATCGCTAAAGATACATACAGTCGTCGAGGACTACATAACGGGAGCCCAGACCGAAAGCTTGTCTCTCTCTTTTTCTCAGCTGCAGACGTACGGCATCCGAAAACAATCGTCCGTTTTACGATTAAGACGATTTTTGGGATACGGGTCGAAACGCCGGTGTCGGTCTCAGTTGATACTGAAAAACGACGCAAAAAAAATAATACGGTCAATCCGATGATTGACCAATACCGACGCCTCGGCTCGTGGCTTACGAGCCATTTTCAAGGTCAGAAGCTGGTAAAGATTCGGAGGTTTCCCTTGCTGTTCACAGGTGTTGGTTGGCTTGGACCCGGAAGGCTAGCTTTTGGTTAACTAATTGGTGCTGTTGGTTAACTAATTTCTCTGCA